ATGATCGTTTAAAATTAAGTTACTTGGTTTTAAGACAGCAAGATACAATATAAGACCTAAAGGAAAACACTGCTGTTTGCTTTTAACTTATGTACACAGATGTCTTTAGTTTTAAATAAACTTTTAAGCATTTGAAATGCCATAAAAATAAATACTGTGGGCTGCTTGCTAAATGACAGCATTTTGGGGATGTGATGTTCATGTGAATAACATGATTTTGCCACACATGAATAACATGGACAGAGCTGCAGATGGACTTGATCTTTTGGCCAGTATTGGGTTGAATAAGACTTCTAAATATCTTGGCTGTAATGAATATAGTTAAATTCCTCTCCCCTGTAGCTTTTTGTTGCTGTTATTTTTTATTTTTACCTTTTTTTTTTTTTAAATTGTAGCTACAGATAGAAACGGTTTCCTGGGATTAGGAAGTGTAATTATTTAGGCATTAAACAAAGAGTTGTTTTAGAAATTTTACTATCATTAAGAGGAAGTTTTAAAAGACTGGAATTCCATTGTCTTGTAAGAAGTAAGAAATATTTATTGATTCCCAAATGGAGCTGAAAAAACCTTTCCTCTTTTAGAAAGTTGTGAATGACCCAGCGAGAGCTCAAGTAAGCTTTACTGAACCAAGCTGCTAATAGTTATTTAATGTTATTCTTCAGTGTGAAAGAATCTCCGTAGATTTTCCTTTTAATCTCTTTGAATTGCAGGCTCATAAACCTCTCTGATGAGTCTTGCCAGTGTTTTCTTAGATCCCACTGTTGAGACAATGGAGCCACAGAATTCTTTTACCTCTTGTTGTCAGACAAATCCAATAGAACACAAGGTCAGAAGGGCCTATACTTCTAAAGGTTGAAAGATTCTTTTTCAAGTAAGCACATAAATTATTTGATTTTATAATTTTATTCCTCCAGAACCACTCTTTTACTATAATGAACTGATTTCTATATGTAAGTAAATTGGAAGTTTTTCTTGTCTCCATATTTGGTTAAGCTTTTGAGTATAGAACAGGGTGTGAACAGCCCTTAGTGTTCCTAGATCCCTTAGAAAAAGTTGGACCCATTTACTTCAAAAGAATCAGGAATCATGTAGTGTCATTGGACTCAAGATGGAGTACACCAAATGCCAGGCAATGCTTTTTTCCAAATGGCTGTGGGTTTTGGTTTTTTTTTGTTTTGGGGTTCTCTCGCTCACTTGCTTTCTATTTTTTTTTAATACTTATTACCATTCTGTAGCAAAAATTCCAGGTTTAGAATCTTGGATCTGTTTCTTTAATTCCCTCTCAAAATTAGTTTGTTTTCTCAACATTTTTAATAGTGTCATGTTAACAGGAGAACTTTGAGATAGGATTTGTGTTTCTGGATACCTATTAAAATGTTTCATTACAATGGGCAAAATATTTATAATATGTATTACTGCAAAAGAAAACTAACTTAAGTGTTTTGAAAATGCCATGCCTGTTAGTAGACAATTATCAAAGCTAATTATAGGGTTCCTGTGAGTTACTTTAGGGGATGGGGAAGAATTCAGTTTTCTAATTATAACCACAATGGTGGACAAGCAGAGATCATTGTTTAAAACTAAAAAAAACACATTGATTTGTTTGTGCTCCTTCCTTGTAATTGTAGTGGGGCTGGGTTGCAGGGGGAAGGAATTTGCTATTGCCCATCCCTGGACACCTGCCTCTTAACAAAGAATCTTGGTCACCCCCCACCGCCCACATTTAGATTTACCTTTTACTTGAATGTACCCTGTCTGCTCATTATACAGTTCTCCAGGGATCCAATTTTCCCCTGAGTTAATCACCCCAAGCCTTTTTCAAAAGTTGTTAGATTACTGACTTTCAAAGAATGCACATTTTCTTAAGAGTCTCTTTATTCCCTTAATTTTTCTTTCCTTATTTCCATTAAAAAATGTAACCCTTAGACTCTCAACACTTTACCTTTAAAACTTTTTACTGAAGTACAATATCCATACAGAGTAGTACACAAATCTAAGTGTATATAGCTTGATGGATTTTCACAGTGAACACACCCATTTAACCAGGAGGCCCCTTGTGACTTCTTCCAGTCACCATTCACTCTTTCCTCCCCCCAACACCCTAGGGTAATTTTGCCAGTTACATTTCATACAGTATGTTCTCTTTTGTGTCAGATACTGATTTTTAAAACCAGAGGCCCCACAGAAAATTGGACTATGTGCCCTTGGTATTGAATAATCAGGTCACACTATGCACATGTTTAGACAGCCACAGAACATGAGAATATTTTAATACCCTCCTTTTAACTCTGACCTTAGTTAGGCAAAGGACTAACCATTTTTTGTGTTCTGCTTTCCATTTACCATGAAATATGGTCTAAGTTAATATTTGAACCAAGAAATAGGTAGCTACTCTAAAGTTCCTGTGCATAGAGATAAAAAAGAAGAAAAAATTATAAAGTAAAAGCTACTTTTTTGAGTAGGTGGAATAATAGAAAGGGTTGCACATGAAATAGTAACTGTGTGAGTATAACAGTAGCTTCCCAGTAGAGAAGCAGAACAATAGGAAGCTGACTTGCTTGGCAGTTATGTTTGCAAGTTATTTCTCATTTATTATTTTTATATAAAAATGGCATAATGGACATATATGGATGGATTATCTTTTTGTACTGTTAATAAATTACAAGTTAGGTTAGATTTAAAAAGCTGATTCATCTTGTCATTATCTCTGCCTCGTCTGATTTGCTTTAATTGATTTCAAAATTACTTAAGATATATCTATAAGATACCCTAGAATATAAGCAATTTGATTGTAAATTAATTACACCTGTTTTTTCCCCTAAACAAGCTCTGTTAAATGCAAATTACTCCCATTCCTCAAACCTAAAACAGTGTTTAATTTCCCAATCCTAGCAAGCTACCCTGATCCTTCTGAGTAAGAAATTAAAACATGGTAAGATTATTTTCCCATCCATGAGACTTTCAGATAGACTTTTTTTGAAATTAGGAATAAATTTGTACCTTCTGTGTAATGTCCCCATGGCTCCCATAGCACCATGAGTGGTGCTGCCCCCCAACTGGCTTCCTCTGCTAATGTCTACTGTTTACTTTTTCTCTCCTGTCCTGTGTGTAAGGTAGGAAACAAGGGCCTCAAGCCCCATTCCTTCCCTAATTTGACAGGAGGATTGAATGTTTTGCATTTTGGTTTATTTTGTTCTGAAATTAAAGTATTCCAAATAAAGAAGATGAAGTTTTATACAGAAAAAAAATAGAAATAACTGAATAACATACAGCCAAGTATACTTTATGTAGAATGTGGAAATTGTTTTGCTTAGAAATTACTTAGCGTACTGTTAAAAACTTCACTGGGCATTACGAAGATGGAGGAACTATCTCCAACCACTGGCAAAGTCTTCATCCTTTGAATTTTATGGAATAGTCTAATAGACTGTTAGTACCCAGTAAATATGGAGTGGTATAATATTTGACATAACTTAATAGAAAACCATGGTGAGTTCAAAATATTGTATAATCTTTTCATCTATTTTAAAATTATGTAACTCACCAATAAATTTTGAACAGGCAGTTATTAAATATAATTAAATAGCAGGCATTCACACACAGAACAAAGAAAAGCATTCTTAGCAAGTGAACAAGAGACTAGTGAGACAGCTAAAGAAAATTTCATTGGAGTGGGGAGTAGATTTTAATAGTTTTTTTTTTTTTTTTTTTTTAAGCATTGACTTCTAGAAGAACAATACAAGCATACAGGAAATATAGCATGTCTTTTAAAAAGATAAGTGCTCCGCATCTATATTTGCGTCTTTGTCCCAAAGAATACTTGTTTTAAGCAAGAGAGTCTATGCTTCCACTACCTGGACCACACTCATAGTAAATTTAGGTGGAATTATAGGCTTCCTTGGACCTTCCATCTCTAGCAAAAACTTTGGCCCAGGAAACAACAATAGAACATCAACACAATATATTTGTGTTGTGGAGTTATTGAAATATTAAAACAATTTTCACTTTAAGTTACTTATTCTATTATAACCAATTAAAAGTCAAATGACTGACTGATAGCCCCTTACAGTTGGGTAGTACTTTATTCTTTAAAGCACCTTTAGCCTGATCTCATTTAATTGGAAGAACACCCTTCTTTCTATTAGTCTGCTTGAGCTGCTATAACAAAATACTGTAGTCTAACAGTAGCTTAAACAAAATGTATTTCTCACAGTTCACGAGGCTGGAAAGTCCAAGATTGAGGTGCTGGTTGATTCAGTGTCTGATGAGGGTTCTTCTGGCTTCATAGATAGCCTCCTCCGTGATGTGCCCTCACATGGCCTTTCTTCTGTGTGTGGAGAGCTCTTTCTCTTTTCCTCTTCTTATAAGGCCACCAATCCTAAGGGATTAGGACCCCACTCTTATGACCTCATTTAACTTTCATTACCTCTTAAAAGCCTGTCTTCATGTCCAGTCACATTGTGGGTTAGGGCATCAACATGTGAATTATGGGGGGCACAATTCAGTCAACATCAACCTTCATGAAGTAGGTGAGAAAGAGCTCATGCCTGTCTTAGAGATGGATGGAAAAAACTGATACACCTAAGGTTAAAAAGCTAGTAAAATGTAACTAAGGTTCAGATACAGTTATGTTTACCTAACTTCCTTTGCCTGCTTAACTACAGATATGTTTTATTTGACAAAAAATTTCCCTGTCTCTTACAAAATAGAGGTCACTAGTTGATAGCAAAGAATCATCAAAATCAACTTCATTCTTTTGCATGTTGCATATTTATGAAAGTGGGACAGACATTGACTATTAAAGTTTATAAGAAGTGGTATGTTCTAAATTTTTCAGTGAGCTGACATCAGGTAACTTTAACACTTCTGTCAAAAGTACTAAAGTAAGTTTTTAAATGATAAATTAGAATTATAGTCACCAACCTGGAGTTGCCTTCTCAACATTCTTCATGGTTGCAATTAAAGTATCAAAATTAAATGTCTTGTTTTATATTTTACAGAAGATGATCTAAGAAATATGGGGCCAGTAGATGCTCAAATATATCTTGAAGAAATGTCTTGGAATGAAGGTTGGAACTTTTTTTTTTCTCTTGACTACAGTGAAGAAAAATATTCGGAAATTTCTATTAATATAACATAAGGAAAAAACCCTCAGGATATTTGGAAATTTGAAAAAGAAGTAATAGCTTGGCTTTCCATATATATGTGTGTTTCTGTTTGGAATATTTTTGTTTCATTCTAAGCTTTATTGATGTCTCGCTGTACAACTTATTTCCAGTTGTTTTCTATTCTAATTAGATGTGAGGTGCATAAGGTTTCATAAGGGGTTTTTTGTTTTGTTTTTACTATTTTGGTTTTTGCAATACTCTCTGTGTAGTATGGTAAATAAAGTCAAAGAGGATACTTTTTTTTCATTCTTTATGTTGAGATGAATTCCTGTTAGAATTTTTATTTTCTCTTTATATGGGATCATAAACTGTCAAAGCAGGGCTTTTAATATGATACTCTTCTACTTGGAGGCTTGATTTTTATTTTACTCTCACTTTTTGATTGTCTCTTAGGAGGGAAAGAATTTTCTGGTATTAAAAGATTACAGCTTAAATCTAGTTTAATTTCCCTGTTTTTGTGATAGTTCCTTGAGTTTTTCTGGTTAGATACCATCAAATTGGGAAAACACCCTTTTCTAAATGGAAGCCATGAGTACCATACTTCCTAGTTTCTCTGGGCAAATGAAGAAAATCTTACTATTGCCTTTAATTTTTATATACTCTTAACCCCAGCACTGTATTTTTCACCCGGGGATACAAATTCCCTAAAGGTTTATAAAAATTTACTAATGTTTGTGGATGGATAGAAGATTAATAGCCATCTGAAAACAACTTTTTGTTGTTTTTAATGGCAGATTCTTAACTTAGTACTCCTAAGAAGTGAGTCACAAGGCATATTAACTGAGGGGAATGATTTTTTTTGCCTATGGGACCATTCTGTCTCCAACCACCCAAATTAAATCCTAAAGTGGAAATTCTTATTTGCTGTGAATAATTAGAAAAGTTGAGGTTTTGTGTAACTGGGCTCCCACTGGTGGTGATAGTCTCATCAGAGTAAATGGGAATAGCTAATGCTGTGAAAACAAGACACTACACCAGTGGCATAGGCTTTCACTGCTAGTTTGAGGAGGGGACTGACTAGAACATGTCATTTTTCAGGGAGATCTGCCAAACTAAATATATTTTTTGAAAATATAGTTTATTTCCTTATCAATCAGTATGTGTATGTGTTTGTTATGTGTTTAATTTCTTATTAAACAAATTCATTCTTGCTGTAGTTGATATGGCTGATATATTTAATAATGAGTCCTTAAAATGTAAAAATAGTGGAAACTGTTTTTTGTAATTTTTTCTTTTTTATTAAACTCTTAAAAATAGAGTTAATTTTAAGATTTTATTTTAAATTAAGAATATGGATTGGTGGTTTAAGCATCTGTTCATTCAGTAAATACATGGGCTTTCTGATACAAGTTGAAATGCTAACATATTAAAGGAAATGTACAACATGAAAATCATCAAAAGTTATCATAAATGTGTTAATGTCCCTGGGACTCCCTAAAGTAAACCTGACGACAGTAATGAAGATATAGAAGATCCCTACCATAGCCAATGAATCAGTTATAAGCAGATACAGTTAATCTTAAAAGTACAGGATACCCAAAGATGCTTATTTAAATTAAGGGTTTTTATAATTATAAAGGTGGAAATCCTTATCTTCATGAGAGAAAATCCTGAGAACAGCCAAATGATGCCATTATTCTTGCAGGAATATTTTAAAACTAACTACAGACGTTTTGAACTAAATTTTTTTTTGCAATCAAAAAGAGCGCAGTGTTGGCAGAAGAAGTAAAATAAAATAAAAACTGTAGTTGGCAAGTGGGCAACTTTAAAAAATTGTTTAAAGATTCCTTCAGGATCATTTTCAGAATAGCCTTGGAAGGTGAAGATCCAAAACAGGAAAAAAGTTGATGAAACCCTACATTGTGGACATAGCCAAATTGTCAGCTGTTTGATCATAGGACAGTAAATTTTATTATGCTTAAAAGGCACGCATGAACTATTGAGGGATTGAAGCTAACCTTCTCCTTACATTAGTCTCTCATATAACTTGGTCATTTTGTTGGTCTTCATTCAGTATATTAAATGACGATTTCTGTAAAAAATATCGCTTTGTTAAAAGCTTGATGGTAAAATAATAATAGAAGAAGAAATTTTAACAAGATGTGAATTTTTAGTGAGCATTAACATTTGGAGTCATCTATGACAAAACTCCACAGTAGCCCATGGTGTCCTCAGTGTCATTTACCAAGCACATGTCACCTCAGATTGTTTCTCAGTGTTCACTGAGGTGATAAAAAAACAAGAAGGGGAGAGTAAACTTAAGAAAAATCGATGGTTAGAATATGTACACTTTTAGACAATTTAGTAATAAAACAATTCACTTTGAAAACACACTTTAGTACGTGTAAGTTGGCTTAGGGAAGATGTTTGTACTTTGAATTCAAGATTAAACTATTTTTCATTATAGAGAAATAAGGCATTATGGTGAAAAATAAAAAGCAGGATTAGATTAATGAATTCATGTTTTCCTTACTGAATAAGAAAACCAAAGTTGGCTTATTTATTTGCTAATTTTTCCAAGGCTAAATTTGATAGAAAGCAAGTATAAGGCAGCTGAATTTTTCTTTTTCTTTTTATTACTACATATAATAAGACCTAAATATTAATCAGTTTTAAGAACCAGGTGAAGATATTTCTAGGAAATCGTGAGTTCTTTGATAAAAACTTCATTTATTTCTGATAAAAAATTATGATAGTGGAAACATAGATGTGATTGTTAAAGTTGCTTTTCTTTCACAATCACTTCTCAGAGACAGTAAATGACCAGTGGATCAGAGATTCTTTCAGTTAAAGGACAAAAGAATTTCAACTTCCTAGGAAGATAATAGACTTAAAATTCCCACCATTAGAGTGGGAATGTTGTACCATATGGCCTCCTTTGGGCATCTCACTTCAGCATTTTCTTGTTGGTTCATATATCATTTGTAAACACCAAACAGATACATATACAGACACACATCCCACGGACATGGGGGGAACCCATAGTGTTATGTTTATATATGTGAGTCAGGATTCTTGAAATTGTGTGATACCAGAACAGAAAGTATCCAGATATTGAACTTGACAAATAGTCGAGTTAGCAGAGTTTTCTGTAAAGGACAGAGTCCAGGCAAAGCATCATGTTCCTTAACAGTGGACAGGTAGGGGTGTTTTTCTTTTTCCTTTACTGTAATGTTTTAGACAAATACATTGTTGAGAAAAATGTGAAATGTATATGAATCCTAAGAAAACAGAAAACTTCCAAATGAATTTCATGAGTTGCTTCAGAGCATTTTCCCGACAAAATCTTAGAACTCTTGATTCATAGCTTGTCCATCTCCTCTATAAAGATTCTTTGGTAGATAATTTTTAGAAGCCCTGCCCCTATGCAAGGATTTTTTTTTCCATTTCTCCTTTAATACATTTTGCCTTTATTGAGTGTTCTTTCTTTCATTTTGCAATTTCTGTAGAATGAACTCTGCATTTTTAAGAGTGATAGTGAAGTAGTTACTTGTGTTTGAAGCATTATTTTGTTTTCTTTGCAGATGATCACTCTTTTTCTCTGAGTTGCCGATGTGGTGGAAAATACAGTGTTTCCAAGGATGAAGCAGAAGAAGTTAACTTGATTTCTTGTGATACATGTTCACTAATTGTAGAAGTCCTTCGTTATAACTAAAATTGTTCACTGCTGAGAATCATTTAACTTTGTATTCAGACATGATGAGGAGAGGCCATTGGGCTTTTCTCATTTCAAGGAAATGGATTTTTTTTATCAGCCCTACTATTATATTTGTAAGGAAAATATAAGATTATCAGGCAGAGATCAACATAAATTCATAGAAAATTAATTTAGTTATTTATATGTATTTATATTTACAGGTTGCCACAAAAAGGACTTGAATTATAAATTGTATTTGGTGAAAATTCCCACGTAAGAACTTATTTCATTTTTTCCTTGATACAAAATAAGAATTTTCTGTTTCCTAACATGAGCATGTCTCCTCTTTTAGTGGGTAGCAGTATCATCATATTCCTTTATAGATACTAAGTTTCTGATGTAACAGATGTTTCTAGATGCCAAAATTATAGGGTATATTGTACATCTATCTCAAATGCTAGGGTCATTAGAATTAGATTAGAATCTTTTGTGAATAATGTAAGGTCAGTTTTCCCATAATGAAGAAGATTCGATGTGGATATTGATGAGGTTATTTCAGAGTTAACAGAGTAAAAAGAAAGATAGCTTTTGAGTCAGAAGACTTGACTCCAGTCTTTATGCTGTATTTCCAAAGTTCATGAACACTGTTATTTCCAACTTTAAATGTAATTTAGGAAATGGAAGCTTTTCGAAAGAATCAAATTGGTCATTACTTTTATTAAAATATAGTATTAATGCCTATACTTATGAATAAGTGGTATGGGATGATTAAATGTAATTATACAATGTATTATTAACTGTAGCAGACTACAGATGGCATATTCCTTAAAGATTTATTTTTTTATGATTCAGTATTCTATATACAGTATAAGTCAGAATTCATTTAAAGAACTTTAAGGGACCCTTATGGCAGTGGTCCCCAACCTTTTTGGCACTACGGACTGGTTTCATGGAAGACACTTTTTCCACAGATGTAGGGCGGTGGCTTCAGGATGATTCAAGTGCATTACATTTGTTGTGCAGCTAAACCTCTCTGCTAATGATGATCTGTATTTGCAGCTGCTCCCCAGTGCTAGCATCACCGCCTCAGCTCCACCTTAGATCACCTGGCATTAGATTCTCAAAAGGAGCTCACAGCCTAGATCCCTCAAATGTGCAGTTTACAGTAAGGTTTGCACTCTTGTGAGAATCTAATGTCCCTGATGATCTGGCAGGAGGTGGAGCTTATGTGGTGATGTGGGTGATGGGGAGCAGCTTTAAATACAGATGAAGCTTCACTACTCGCTCGCCTGCCACTCACCTTCTTCTGTGCGGCCTGGTTCCTAATAGGCCACAGACAGCTACCGGTTTATGGCCTGGGGGTTGGGGACCACAGATTTATGGGATCACTGAAACATTTTTACTTCAAGTGAGTAGGCTAAGCATGTAACTTAGCAATTTTTTAAGTCTAACTTCTTGGCATTGTCAGATTGGATTTATAAATAAGAAGAGTTACTACTTATGTAAGTAGTAAACTCATAACTGTAGCTCAAGTATGAGGCACATTCTAGAAGAGTAGATTATTTTCATTATACCTCTTAAAAAATTCAAAAGTGAGGTAGTCATCCAGGTTCCCCCTCACACAAGTATTTTGAACTAATGTAGCTTGCACAGTGTGTTATTTTTTACATTTAACAATTTAAAAGAACTAAAAATGAATAGCAAATAGTTTATTGGTAAATACATGGTTTCAATGGCAGTAATAAATTCACTTGAACAGGAGACAATAATCAAGTCATAAAAATACATTTTTGCTAATCATCAGAAAATCTGTGGCCATTAGGGCTGTCACGCAGAAATCCAAAATCACTCAGAGGCCAAATCTGTAAAATAAAAATGTGGTTGTAGACAATTAATGAAAGTAATGTTATATCATCATCATATTCCTTTTTTCTATTCATCCCTTTTCTCTGTCATATATTAAAACACTTTGTCCTTACTTGTCAGTCAAGAATAAAATTATCTGCATCAAAATAAGATGTTAGAAAATAAACTAATATGCATATATGTATTTAAACTCTAAAGTTTGGAACATTCAAATATTATATAAGAAATTATATGTGTTTATTTAGTGTATGAATATATATGTATGAATGTCTGTGTTTTACTACCCTCAAATAAGAGTGAATTATACACCTTCAATTTAAAAATGTTTAGGTTTTAAGTATTTGAATATGGCATCTGTTTAAATGTAAAGAATCCTATAAATTATCCAACAGTCCCATGTGTTCATGCCTGTTTTTCTCCTTACTGCTTGTGATAAAAAGGAGGAGCCAGTGAAAACAATAATCTTCCCTAAGAATCATGCATTCACTATAACCACATAAGTCCATGATTCGCTGTACTGGACTAGGGTATCCCTGCATGACAGGTAGTTTGAACCTAGACTGCTGTTCTGTGCATACTTATTAAAATATGCCCAGAGTTATGAGTATGGTTGTAGAAATTGTAAAAAAGAATTCGATTTTTGGAATTCAAATTCAAAGTTTCTTAGGATATAGCTAAGATAGGTTGAACTTTATTATTATCCCTATGGGAGTTGAAAGAAGGGGATAATAATGTTTCAATGTAACTATTAAAGGCCACCATGTTCATAAAATGTAGTCAGTGTAATAGTTAAGTGAACTGATAGCCTGAAAATTTCAAAGTTCATTTTGAGAGAAACTTTTTTTTTCAAGCTCAGAGAATAAAGCCTACATTTTAAGCATAAAATGGTACCTTAAAGAAGATTCGTCCTCTTATTAGTCCATATGGAATAGGTCCGTAGTACCTTGAATCTGTAGAATTCTGTAGATTATCACCTTCTAACCAAACATGACCCGTTGGCACCTAGAATTAGAGAAGAAAAGCAGCCCCTTTAAAAAAGATAAAACTTAATTTGGGTACTATAATTTAAAAGCATGTCATTTAGAGGTAGGGGTAAATGTAAATACCCCTTTTATCAAATAATACAGATTCTAAGATTTGCATTTTTGCTTTTATTTCTTGTATAATAAAATAATTCTTACTAAATATCAAAGGTTTCAACTTTTTAAAAGACCTATCTTTTTTTGTCATGTGGTTCCCAAACATTAATTTGTTATACAAACCCAAACTGAGGTTATAAGAGATCAAAACAGTGTGACAGGGTCATTAATTTAATAGACTTCAAAAGAGGTCATTAGGATGCTGACTGACTGAAAATGTGCCCTTATGTCTCAGTAACAGCATAAGCAGGGCAGCCACTCACTCAGCAACATCCTGGGGCCAATACCAAGGCCAGACCTATTAGAATGCTCATGATGAACTAAATGGTAATTGATTGTGACATCAATTACAAATAATCTCATCATTTTATTGGAGTGGGCTTGTCAGAATTCTAATTAAGATCGCTGTTCTGCCTTTGTACAAGCTATATCTTCAATGCATTATACTTTGATAATGACCATGAAGAACCAGAAGGACCTATTATAAAATCATCAGTTGTAAAATTAATGATGGTGACCTTCTACTAAGTGAAAAGACCCTATCTCCTATATGTCCTATATAGTAACTGGTAAATCAGTTTTAAGTTTTTACTCAGGGACAACCATAAGCATATTTAGAACAGAACACATTACTTTCTAAAAAAGCATTCTGCAATATTAGATATCTTTGCCCACTAATATCTGTTTGGTATAAACTTAAAAAATTACTCTCCAGCAACAATCTTTAAAATTGCTCTTTAGAAGTTTTTATTTTACAGTTCTGTTACCTAAGAAAAAGTTGAATTATTGACCAGAGCAAAATGATCTGTTGGGAAATAATTTATTTTCACTAACCTTTTTGCTTGGGAATCTTATATGAGGAAAAAAATCCCTATTTGGATTTAATAACAGACTGTAATTTTTTTAATGTCACAGATTACTTTTCTGAAAAATTTATACAAAAATATAAAATTTCAGTTTTACTTTTTATTATATATAAGAGATTATGCAATTCTGGAATGTCTTATATCATGTAAAAATACTTGCCAGAAACCTTCAAGTTAACTCCATTTAGATACACTTAAATGTTAAATATCTCTATAGAAAAAGGACATAAGTTTACTGATAGAATGTCAGATAGCATAAGATCACTCACTTTTATTAGTGGAAGTAGTTATATTTAATAAGTCCTAGTGACAATAGCAAAGTTAACTCCCTACCAATATAATAAAATTGACATATGTTCAGTAAGGCTAAGACTGCTACAGTAGAAAAATTACATCTCAGGTCATAAAAGGAAGGAAGAAAAAAGTAATGAATTTGGAAAAGCCATATGTAATTAACATATTATTAAGTATTACTTTGACAAAGCTGAGGTGAAGAAGATCTTTAAATGTTTATCCATAGTTTCCCCTTGAAATGTGTTTCTGAATTCTAAAGATAGGTAATATATATGAATAAATGAAATCATGAAATTAGGGGCACTAGTAAAAGCAAAAGAAAAATATTCTACAAACTAATAAGGCAACATACCAACAATCTAGGGAGATCTTTGCCTGTCCCAGTGACGGCAAACCAGGACCCATGTTTATACATTCTAACTCTCCATGAAGCTTTCCCTAAACTTATCTGCTCATACTAGATTCTCTGTTTAGAGCACTTAACATATAAAGTCAACATTACTTAGCGCCCTAGATATAACATCTTTTTACCTGCCTGGCTCTTCTGTAAGTCTTTACTATTTTAGAACTGAATAAGCCAACAGACAGCAATGTCATGATTTTAATTCATTTTTTTGAGAGCATTCATTACTTTTATTACCATTGTTACTAGATTTTTGCCAATCTGGTGAAAAATAGTGCATCATTGTCTTCATTAGCCTTTGTCTTATGAGTGAGACTGAATCTCTTTTCATGTGTTCAAAAGCCATATATAATTCCTTTTCTGTGATGCATTTTTACATATCTTTTGCCATGTCTATTGAGTTGATGATCTCTTTTTTTCCTCATTTCATAAGCATTCTTTAAATATTAGGGAGGGTAGGAGGCTCACACCT